TTGTGCCAGCGCCGCGTATCCAGGTGTTGGAGGCAGCTTGTGAGATTGAAGCGCGAGCATCCCAGTTATGCCTGGGTCCCTGCCCGCGCTGCAGAAGACGAGGTTCTCTTCCCTGCTCCTGAGGGCCCCCCGTCTCCTCTCTACCTCTGGCTCGCGGGAAACAGGTGGGCGAATTTTTTCGCCGAGCTGGGGGCCTTGTCGATCGAGGCCCCCGAAGTGCATGCGATATTCCACAAAGAGAGTCTCTCAGAGGCCGCCCAGTGTGCAAAATATTTAGGCTGGGCGGTCCAGCGGAGCTGCCAGCTTGAGCTCTGGGCCGAGGCCGCGGTGCTCGCGGCTGGCGCGCAGAGGCTGACGCCTGCATAATGCAAACTATCCATGCTGCTCCATGAACATGGCCTCGCGGAGGTCGGGGGGCGGCCTTCTGTAGGAAGTGCCGGGGTTTGGCCCGAAGACCCGAGGCTCGACGACAGCTGGCCGGCGGCGCCGACCGAAGGTGCCGCCCGTCGGCCATCCGCACCCTACAGGCCAAGGTCCTCGAGGCTGCCGCCGTCAACCGCCTGCTTGGGGTTCGGTGGGGTCTGCGGGTATTGGGCTGTCTGGGGTTGGGTCGTCTGGCGTGGGGACGGGGGGGCTGTCTGTGCACCGCGCCTGGGGGACACGACGTTGCCGCCACGGGCACGGTCGTCTGGTGTCGGCGGTGCGGGGCCTACGGTTCCGCCAGGGTGGGGCCCCGCGCCCTGACCCCCATGACTTGGCCCCCAGCAGGCGGCGCGTCTTTAACCGCTTGCTGGAGGGCAGGCGCCCTGAGTCTGGCAGGACCCTCCTCCTCGTCCTCGTCCTCTTCCTTCCTTTTTTCTGCCCTTTTCCTCTTCCTCCTCCTCCTCCTCCTCATCATTCTTCCTCTGTGGGCGAGCGCTTCCGTCATGCTCACGCACCGCCCAGTCCTCCACCTCCGCTTCCCTCTGGGCTCGCTTGTCCTCGCGCTTGCCCTTTTCGATCTAGGGCGCCCTCCACTGTGCGGCAGACGCATGCCCCCTTTTTGTCTGAGCCCCCTCCTCTTCCCGCTCCTCCTCCCACATGCGACTTTTGCCAGTCCTGCCGCAACGGCGACGATATCATACCCTTGGAAGTTGGTCACTGGCGCGGTCAATGCAGCTTATATGCCGCCTCTGGCAGCCAATGCAACTCCAGAAGTACGTGGGGCGCAACGCGGTAACGTCATGAGTCGTGATCACCAACGACCAGGAGCATCGTAAAACCGATCAGTTAGGCAGGCACTAGCAGACGAAAACGAAACAGGACGATCCGAGAAACATTACGTTAGGGGCGAGTGCGATTGCGGTTGCGTAAGCTTGTGCAGCCAGGCTCTGTCTTCGCATCGCCAAGTTAAGTGCCGAGTGTCTCAGCGTAGCGTGGAATGTGGCCTTCTGGCAGAGCGCAAGGGTACTGAGAGGACGGGTTGTGAAGCAGTCCGAGCACGTCGTCGCATGGAACGCTGCGTCTTGGCAGTGCGCGCAATCATCTCACAGCGATCATTCGTAAATTGTCACAGCTTCAAAACGATCGCTGGTCCAATACCCCTCCAACATGCGGGCCCCGACGTATCTACTGGGTGGGGGAGATGTGGAGTCGCGGATTAAGGAGCAAACAAGAGCCCGCAGATCTAGAAAGGAGGTCCATGCAGTCCGATCCCCGGTGTACTTGGGGGGCTCTGCCGTTCCCTCTCGTTTTCGCTTGTGAGGTGGGCAAGAAGGAGGGACACATGGTGTGTAGAATTGCCTTCGCAGTCCGAAGCTAGCTTCCCCAGGGTGCCCAGGTGTGCAATGAAGTTACTTCCGACAGTCATGTTTGCTCGCTCTGACCTACTTTGGGAGTCTCTTTTTTTCGGACCGCCAAGCGCAGTGGTCCCGACCTCCGTAAGCCGCTACTTGCCACCGTTTTGGGGCCGCGCAGATCACCGAGAAACAAACGAAAAGCTAACGAACAAATCACGTACATCTGACTTTCCAGTGTTGGCGAGCCATCCAGAGACTTAAAGTAGCTCAACACGATCAACAAGTAACGCATTTCGATTCACAATTCGCGCATAACTAACTTCTCCAACGGCTTTTGAGCGCAGCGGGGCAACAACCATGGATACCTAACTTTGAACTAAATATCCCACGCCCCAAAGTAACTCTGGCCTAGCTCAACACAGGCATATCGAACAGACAAGTAGCTCGAATCGATCAACTCCAAGTGCTTACCGCCGCATAATGTAGACACATGTCACATCTAGCTCGATAACAACTCCACGCTATGTCAATATTGTTTTTTTTGTTTTTGGTTGCTGTGCTTTGCCTTTGTTAAGGAAGCTGCAGTGCAGACAAACAACGTCAAGCTAACTTTCCTCGCGGGCCAAATGCGTGCTCGCTTGTAACCTGGACTAACTAAAGCCTGGCCGCCAAGAGGCCGGCTCGAGACCGCCTCCGGGGCAGCCAGCAGCGCCCGTGTCATTATGGTTTGGCGCTATCCGCATGATGCAGTTGCCTTGGCGGTGTTCGGGCACACTGCCTCGAAACTGTTGAGGCGACAGTAGTGACAGAGCCCACTGCCACGAATCCTCACAGTAGTGCCCGTGCTGGCCTTGTCGCGACCCGCTCGTGGAGGTTGGGGGCTCCCGCCGCGAAGCATTGCGAACCGATCTGCACGAGGCAATGTCAACGCCGCATGTGCAGCATCGGTCTCGGTCACGTGTCGCGCACTTGCGGAGACGAAGGAACCTTCCAGCATCGCTTGACATAGCTGAAGCTCGTTCTAGATGTAGGCAAGCGTGTTCAACTAGGTCCGCGTGCGGTTATCATTCCATACGCACAGGTTGCTGCAATGAGACTGAACAGCGGTCTCCATTAATCTCATAACTGATGACTTGGAACCTGGAACATACAACAGGCGACTCTTCACTGGACACGTCTGATGAAGAGGAGAGGAGGAGGGGATGAATGGGGAGGATGATGATGATGAGGATGAGGAGGAGGAGGAGGAGGAGGAGGAGGGGGAGGAGTGTAAGCTCAAGACTCATCAACGATGTTGGAATATTCCCTCCCTCGAAGCTCCCTCTTCATAGGCCCCTACAAGGCCGCATTTCCAATGAGGGAAGTGACCCGTTGGGAGACAACTGTGTGAAAATCCTGATGCGCACCAAATCACCGTTCTCAGGACTTCAGCATCGCCACGAATCAACCAGACTGTTGCGTCATGACGATCTGGAATTGGGCCAGAACGCCATTCCTGGGACTTCAATGCCGTGAATCAACGTATCTGTTGCGCCCTGAGAATTCAGAGTCGTTCCCAAACACCGTTTCGGGTACGTTGACCATGAGAACACGTCAACTCCGTGCAATTATTTGAAACGAATGTACGCGGCGCTAAGGCGAGAGCCACATTTTGAAGAAAAAACCGCCCTCAACCGGTGAAGCTCTTGCAATCATATTTGCACGGCGCCAATGCGAGAGCCACATTTTGAAAACGACCCGACCTCAATTCGTGAAGCTCTTGCATTGTTTAAGACGAGTGTGCGCGGCGCTACAGCGGAAGCCACATGTTGAACACCACCCGTCTTCGATTTGTAAAGCTGATGCCAGTTTCTATGCTTCAGGCTCATCGATGATTATGAAGTCTCTGGCGATACGACGGGCCGCCCTTCCGACTGGCCTCCGGGTGCGACAGTGAGGAGTTATTCATAAGGAATTGGAAAGGAGGACGAGGAGGGGGAAAAGGAGGAGGAGGAGAGGGAGGAGGAGGAGGATGATGATGCTCATGATGATGATGCTGATGATGATGATGCTGATGATGATGATGATGATGTTGCTGATGATGATGATGATGATGATGCTGATGCTTATGGTGATGACGATGCTGCTGATGATGATGACGATGATATTGCTGATGATCATGACACTGCTGATGATGATGATGATGATGAGGATGCCAATGATGATGATGATGATGATGATGATGATGATGATGATGATGATGATGATGATGATGATGATGATGCTGATGATGAGGAGGGGGAGGAGGAGGATGAGGATGATGATGATGATGATGATGGTGCTGATGACTGTGATGATGATGAATATGATGATGATGATGATGATGATGATGATGATGATGATGATGATGATGCTGATGATGACGATGATGATGCTGCTGATGATGATGTCGATGGCGATGATGTTGCTGAGTATTATGATGATGACGATGATGATGATGATGCTGATGGTGATGACGATGATGATAATGATGATGCTGCTGATGATGCTGCTGCTGCTGATGATGATGATGATGATGATGATGATGATGATGATGATGATGATGATGATGATGATGCTGATGATGATGATGATGATGATGATGATGATGATGATGATGATGATGATGATGATGATGATGATGATGATGATGAGGCGGAGGAGGAGGTGGAGGAGGAGGTGGAGGAGCAGGGAAGAGGAGGAGGGAGGAGGAGGAGGGAGAGGTGGAGGAGGAGGAGGAAGAAGTGGAGGAGGGAAGAGGAAGAGGAGAGGCGGAGGGTGAAGGCTTGATGCGGGACCTCCTCACAACGCTCCCGAGGACAGCGAGCGTCTGACTCCCTCGCCGTGGGCGGCCTCCAGGGGCCTCCAGAGGCTTCCAAGGAACCGCGTCGTCGTCACCGTGGTCGTTGTTCTCGTCGTCGTCGTCGCCCGCATGTCCATCCGCCTGCTCGTCCTTCTCCCTCGTCTTCCTCCCTCGCCCTCCCTCGTTGTCGTCGTCGACCTTCTCGTTGTCTTTTTGGTTGTCGTCCTTGCCCTCTTCCTCGTCGTTGTCGTCGTCTCCTCCCCCTTCTCCCTCCTCCCTCACCTGGTGGGTGAGTCCGCTCTCCCCGCCCACTGGGGCCCAGAGTCAAAACGTGAATCTCGATTGCTCCCCTCCGAGTGCGTGCAGCTGGGGACGCCCCCCGACCCTGCACACCCCGCGAGGTGTGCGTCGGGGCCACCAGCAAGTGCGAGATGGCCACATGCATCCCCGGCCGCGCTGCGCAGCACCCCTGCAAGTGCGGACCGGGAACGCCCAAAGCGGCGCTGGTCCCTTCGGACAGCGCCGGCCCGGGAGAGCGAGGGAGGGAGTGACGGATTCAGGGGAAACGTTGGGACGTTGAGGGGGGGCAGGCTCAGGGGGGGATGCATCGACCCCAAATCGCTGTTTCATCGCTGATAGGGGCCCGATGGCCCGCCCCGCCCAGCAACGTGCGGATTCGCTATCGGGGGCCCATCGCCAGTCCATCCGCGATGTATTCGTTGATTCAAGCTTGATGTTTTTCTCTCTGAGCCGTCCCCCGTGAAGTTTCCCCTCATGGATAGGGAAGGGAGGGCATGAGAGGTAGAGGGTGTCTGGGGAGGGCTGGCGGAGGAAGATGAAGTGGGTAGATGTGATAGGGGATGGGGATGGGAATGAGGATGCGGGGAGAGCCGAGGGGACGAGAGGAGGAATGAAGTGGAGAGGCGGGGAGAGTAGGTGGGATGGGAGGGAAGCGGAATGGTAGGGAGTGATGGAGAGGCGGGAAAGCCTTGACCCACTCGCCAAAGTCTCGAGTGTCGCTGGCGCGGAGTCTTGAGCGTCGCTGTCCGCGAGGTTTTCTCGAAGCGTGGCCTTGCTTCCTCGGAATGTGTCGTGCATTCTCGCTCTTCTCTCGTCTCTCCTCGTCCCTGGCGCAGCTGCCAGGTGAGTCACACAAGCGAACGCGTTATGAGCGAAGTGTAGGGCAGCAGGGAGGGACGAGGGCGATGGGGGAGGAAACTCGGGAGGAGTGGAAGGATACGGGAGGGGGAAGCAGGGAGGGGAAAGGGGGAGGCAAATTCGGGGGAGGGGACGGAGAGGGAGAGGAGAAGGCGAGGGGAGGGGGGCAAAGCAAGGGTGGTGGGACTCGGGGCAGCGCCGCCGTCCAACGGCACCTGCGCCGCGACGAGAGGGGGCCGTGTCCGCGGCGGTGACTGTGCCGCACATCTGCCGGCTACACGCACGTGTGGCCCCTCGCCGCAGTGGCCTCTGGCCCGAGGAGGCGCACGCGTGGAACAAGGCGCGTTGGATTAGCGACGGGGCCTGGCCGCATAGTTTCGAAATCGACGCGCTCCGTCGCCAAGGCAGGCAGCGCCGCTTCATGTTTCGGGGGGCACTTTCCCGATCCGTGGATCTGTCGCCCACGCGCCAGATCCACGGATCCTTGATCCATGCCACGGTGTGCTCGACTGGTGCGCAGCTCGTAGGAGCTGCGGGGTGGGGGCGAGCCCACGCACGCAGGCCGCCTACTGAGCCACCGCACTCGGCGATCGGCAAGCCGCGCACCAGAGGGCCTCCTTGCCTCCAGACACTCTGGCGTGTCGCCGAATCCGATTCGTGGGTGTCTGAGGAGGGCCAGCCGAGACAACAGCGGGGCGGCCCTCTCGCCCAGCCCCTAAATCCACTCAAGATCGCTCCCTGGGAGGCGGACCCGGCCGCCCGCGGCGTCGAGAAGCTGCAGGGAGCCCAGGGAAGGCATAAAGCGCCAGCGAGGACCGCCGCTGTCTAGATTGGTCCTGATCTGGAAGTTTTTTCCAGGCCGTCCAAATCGGGCTGGGGTAGATTGGGTCGGAGGAACGCGCCGCACCGCCGATGCATCGGCGATGCGGCTCGATGTGGAGCCCGCTTTTTTCCACGCGATGCATCGGCGACTTCGCCGATGCGTCGGCGACGTGTCCGCCCTGCGGCGCGATCGGTCATTCCAGGCAACGCCCCAGGCCCATTTAGCCCCCACAGCGATACTTCCGTAGCTGTGTGTGTTGGCTCTGTTTGGGAAAGGCAACGTCCCGCCCGCCGCGCGCGCGCCCTCCCGGGGCGCACCCTCTCGGCCGGCCGGCCCTTTTTTTTTTTTTTTTTTTTTTTTTTTTTTTTATCATACAGCCAACTTAAGCTTAACGGACATTTGCACCACACTCATGGCGTGGAGGGCTACATCCCCTGTTTCACTTTTTATCAAGATAAACCTGCGCAAAAGGCATCAAGGAGATAGCGAAGAACAACCGATCAATATGGTTCAATACATGGAACTGTCATCGATGGACTGGCAAAATATTGGTTATCAGCCGAAAGTTCCGTTTTCGACGAAAGTGGTTCTACCTGATGGAGGAACGGTGTTCTTTCCATTTAAAGGCGATGTACGTCCTGGAGAAGAATCACGCCGTGATGGCGGGTGGTGAGAAGAGAACGAGGGGGAGGCCAGCGACGATGTCGCCAGGCTTTCCCCCGAGCTTGATTATTTTGCGGTTCGACAGCGTCCGTTTGGGACGGGTTGAGCCGCCGAAAGGCAGGGGTGCGATGCACCTGCGTCGTGCGCGGGGCGAGCCAGTCTGCGGCCAGACTGCTGGGCGCCGCTGTCGCTGACGCTTTTATAAACACCTTGGGCCGTGGCCTAAACTAGGTACGTCCGCCTGCGCGCGTGGAGCACGCCAGGCCCATTTAGCCCCCGCAGCGATACTTCCGTAGCTGTGCGTGTTGGCTCTGTTTGGAAAGGGCAGCGCCCCGCCCGCCGCGCGCGCGCCCTCCCCGGGCGCGCCCTTTCGGCTGGCCGCCCTCTCTTAATCGCAGGGTCTACCTAGGCTTAGCGGAAACACTTATACCACGCCCATGGCGTGGAAGGATACACCCCTGTTCATTTCCCCCGAGGATAATCCTGAGCAAGAGGCTTACAGGAAATGGTGAATAACAACCGATCAATGTGGCCAAAGAAATGTCAATGTCTTCGATAGACCGGCAAAAAAATCGATCTTCCACGCCCCTTCTACTTGGACCCCATTCGGGAGGCATCCGCTCCCTCCCTTTGGCAGTCGGTGCGCGTCGCCGCAGTTGGGCCGCGGATGAGGGAGAGGCCGGCGAGGTGCGTCAACGCCGCGTGCTCCAACGGTGAGGTCTGCGACTGGGCGACCGGCACGTGTTCCCAGGCCTTCGGGGGGCGGCCCAGCGAGCGGACGTCCTCGTCGCCCCCCCCCGCATGTCCCTGTTCTCCCGTCCTCCCCTTGACAGGAGACGCTCGAGCCCTCCCCCTCGCTGATCTCTTCAGGGGATTTTTCACGCCAGCTCCGACTCGAGCCCGTCCGGCTAGTACTTCTACCAGTCCGACTCGAGGAGATGGAGGAAGAGGAGGAGGAGGAGGGAGCAAACTCCTGACCCGGGCCCCGGCCCAATCGCGCTGCCCTCGTAGGTCCAGTCCGTCGGGCCGACGGTGCGCATTCACGCAGTCGCTGTGTCTGCGGAGGGCTCGTCGAGACATCTGCGACCCTTCCTGCCAGTCTTCGTTCTTTTAGGGCCTCTTGGGGGCTTCTCGTCGCCACGGCTGGATCCGCATCGGAAAACGGATGCGGGGTCTGGGGACTGATTTGCAGCGGATGTGGGTCTGCGTTCCTTCCCTCCGCCATTATATTGGTTTTCGTCCTTTTCTTCGCTCGTAACCTACCGCTCTAGGGCCCACCAAATCTCGATCCCATCGATCCAACTCGCTATGCCGCTGTTGAGAATCCCGGCGCGGCCGATTCGATTCGATGCAGATTCCGTACCGATGCAGGCCGATTCGATTCGATACCATTCATCGAGGCGACGCTGTCCGCTGCTGGCACATAGGCCCTTCTTCTCCTTCTCTCAGCATGGCACACCCCTCCTCCGCCTCCTGCTCCTCCTCATCCTCTGCCATCGCCCTTCGTTAAGGTATGGTGCCGTACTGAGCAGGTAAAAAACAACATGTCGTTCAAGGAGAAGCGGCGCACCCTTCATTCGTATCATTACGATTGGGGCTCTTCTTGGGCACCCTTGGTGCCCTCTTGGGGCTCTTCCTGGGGGATCTTGGGGCCATCTTAGGGCACGTTGCATGGGTCTTTCGGCATCTTGGACGATCTTGAGCCCTATGGTTCAATGAACCCAGCGTGACCCCAATTCGGTGAAAGCTTCCTATCGCATTGGCGCGTTGCTTGGTATTGCCTGGCGTTTGCTTGGCATTGCTTTGCGTTGCTAGGTATTGCTTCGCGTTGCTTGAAAATGTATGGCATTGCTTTGCATTTCTAGGCTTTACTTTGCATTGCTTTGCGTTTCTTGGCATTGCTTGACGTTGCTAAGGCCCCGAGGAGTCCTGGGGAAGACCCGAGGAACCCAAGATCGAGTAACCCGAGGAAGGGACCGAGGAACCCAAGAAAGAAGCCCGAGGACGGACCCGATGAACCCAAGGCCAAGGAACTCGAGGAAGGCCAGTGACGAAGCACCCAGTGACGAAGTACCTGGGACTCCTTCGGTAAAGCCTCATTGCGGGAACAGGTGGGAGTCCTCAGTTCGCTCACCCCCTCGGAGGTCGAACAGAATCCTTTTGGGATTCTTGGAGCTCTTGGGGGCCTCTTGGGTCGTCTGGAGGTCCGACTGGGCTCCGGGCTCTGGGGCTATCCTGGGGCCACCTTGTGGGCCCAGAGGCCCATGGGAGGCGAAATTGCGATGGACGATTTTAGTGGCTCCTTGGGGGTTTCATTGGGGGGCACCAGAGCACTTGGAGCCGTCTTGTCGCCGTTCTGAGGCCTCTCGGAGGTACGCCTGAAGCCTGAAGCTATCTTGAACCATCGGCTATCTAGATCCATCTGGGGGACCACCTTGGGGCATCGGGGGGCCGTCTTGGAGCCATCTTGGGCCCAAATAGGCCGTCGGACGGATCGCGCTCTCCCCCCAGGGAAGAAGGAGTTTTGAGAGGAGGGAAGAGCAAACTCGTCATACCATGTGAGCCCAGAGGGCTGGTGGGATTTTCTACGACTCAGCGTCGCGGCCAAGCTGCAGCATCCGAAGTATTTCCATTGGGAATGCTCAGAACGAAATGGACGTGACCATTTTTGTCCACCACGGACAACCTAACCAGCTCATGTATCACCAACTTGCATGTGATATCACCTGACCCGTGGCTCGAGGTACCGCGAGACCCGTGGCGTCATCAAACCGCCAACTCAACAAATACAACTGGCCAGCAGCTCTCCGGTTTTATAGGGAGTTGATGCTGTGATACGCGCCTTTGCCGTGACGCCGCGTTGGCGATGACGATGGTGAGAAAGTAACTATAGAAGCAATGGAACTGATTTTGCGAAGGCCTCTCAATCGAACGCGCTAGGTTGGAACTCCCCTGGCCCGGCCAGCTCGGCCAGCAAACTTCCCCGGTTCCAGATTCCCAGGCGCGGCCAGCAATTCCTCGGAAACGGCGTCAGGAGGCCTCATTGGACCCAACAGGTCGATGTCGGCCGCCCTTCGAGTAGTTGACGGCAGCTCGAGAATTCTTAGAGACAGGGCCACCGATGCTGCTGCCACCGCCTCCTCTGCTCCTGTCTCTCCCGCCTTCAATCTCTCGGCCGGGTGCTGGGGGAAAGTGCGAGAGGCCAGGCTTTCGCAGAAGGCGGCGGGGCTTCTCAGAAGCTCTCCGGCCTTCTGAGAAGCCTTCCGTGTTTTCGGAGCAGGCCCAGGAAGCTTCCCGGACGGCTGGAGGCCCCGCCCCCTCTGCCTTCCCACCTGGGAGAGTCGCCAGGTCTCCCCCTGAACTTGCACCGTTCCTTCCGCCACGTTTTTTCCCCTCATCCCAAGTGGGACTCCTGTTTTCTCTGGGCACCCCGCGCAGGAGCAGGAACACCCCCTCCGTTCTCACCCACATCATCATCATCATCATCATCATCATCATCATCATCATCATCATCATCATCATCATCATCATCATCATCATCATCATCATCATCATCATCATCATCATCATCATCATCATCATCATCATCATCATCATCATCATCATCATCATCATCATCATCATCATCATCATCATCATCATCATCATCATCATCATCATCATCACAACACCATCGTCAACAGAGCTTCGTCTGTGAGTGAATTGCGAGGAGGTCTCATGCGGGAGCTCCCTATGGGCCCACCGCTTATGTTTTTAATCCGACCGGCTCATCGGGATCCTGTACCTGTCATCACTTTCTGGCCCCTGAGGCCTGGATATGCAGGAAGTATCAGGCGGGAGCCTCGTCTGTGAGTGAATTACGAGGAAGTCCTCCCGATGAGGCCTGCCGCTGATGTTTTTCGTCCGAGCGGATCAGAATCGGGTACCTGTATGCATTTTTTGGCCACTGAGGCCTGAATATGGAGGAAGTATCAGGCGGGAGCCTCGTCTGTGAGTGAATTGCGAGGAAGTCTCAGGCGGGAACCCCCTCACTCAGCCATCCGCAGCTCATGTTTTTTATCCGAGGCGGGTCATCGGAATCTTGTAATTGTTGTCATGTTTTTTGCCCCTGAGGCTTGAATTTGGAGGAAGTGTCAGGCGAAAGCCTCGTCTATGAGTGAATTGCGAGGGAGTCTCAGGCGGGACCCCCCCGCAGCTCATGTCTTTAATCCGAGGCGGGTCATCGGAATCTTGTAATTGTCGTCATGTTTTTTGCCCCTGAGGCTTGAATTTGGAGGAAGTGTCAGGCGAGAGTCTCGTCTGTGAGTGAATTGCGAGGGAGTCTCAGGCGGGAGCCCCCTCCCTTATGGGGCCCGCCGCTCATGTTTTTTATCCGTGCGGGTCATCGGAATCCTGCAACCGTCGTCGCTTTTGGGCTCCTGAGGCTTGAATGTGGAGGAAGTATCAGGAGAGAGCCTCGTTTGTGAGTGAATTGCGAGGAAGTCTCAGGCGGGAGCCCTCTCCCTATGGGGTCCGCAGCTCATGTCTTTAATCCGAGGCGGGTCATCGGAACCTTGTAGCTGTTGTCACTTTCGGGCTCCTGGGGCTCGAATATGGGGGACGTATCAAGCGGGAGCCTCGTCTGTGAGTGAATTGCGAGGAAGTCTCAGGCGGGAGCTCCCTCCCCATGGGGCCCGCGCCTCCCGTGCTTCCTCTGGGTCGCCCTCCGGGTCGTCCTCTTGCGCGCGTTTTCTCGTTCGTCATCCGGCGCGTATCTATCGGAGGAAGGAGGATGCAGGACGAGAAAGAGAAGGAGGAAGAGGAGGAGGAGGAGGAGGAGGAGGCAGAGGGCGAGAAGGACGAGAAGGACAAGGAGGAAAAGGAGTGCCAGAGGAGTGCCTTAGGAGGCCCCAGAATGTCCCGGGAGATCCAGAAGGTTCCAGGAGGCCCAGAGAGGCCCCAGGAGTGGAGTGGAGTGGAGTGGGCCCCGTTGCGACGCAAGTTCGGTTTAGCCTAGCCTGACCTGGATGGGACACTCGAGCGAGCCGACTGCTCGGCTCGGCTCAGGACCTTGGGCTGCAACCCCCTGAGGATCCTGTCAAGATATTCCCCTCCGTGCGTGGACAATCTAAGCTTACATGGTGCCTTCAGTGAGCGTATCGCCTTATCTGCGACGGCCCCGCACACACTACAAAACCAAGCCTGAAGGGACGCATGTACATTCAAGGTGTGTGTAGTGTGAGCCCAGCCCCCCGCTATATGTACCCTCGCCCCCTTACTTGGAGAGAAGATGACCCCATTAACATTGTACAAGGGGGTACACGCAGACGCCCAGAACTCCTTTACAGTAGGGGCGGACGCCGAGCTGAAACGTCGTAAGCATTTCCTCTGGCAGTCTGCCAGACGGTGATGGGATTGGAGGGCAGCAACCGCGGCTGCAGGCAAGGGAGGAGGAGGAGGGGAGGGAGGCGGGCCCAATGGGGCCTCACGAGACTTCCGCTTCTCCTCACGCTCGGCCTCCTGAGTGGCCTGCATGCTGTCCAGTGCAGCCCTCAACAGTCTCATGCGCACAAGGAATGCACGCCGCTCATGACACAACACGCGCGTGCGGATGGCCTGCGGAATACGAGCCTTCTCCGCGGCAAAGCCCGCGAACTCGTCGGCCAACGCGTTGCCGATGACAAGCGTGCGAATTCCTTTTCCGTCGAGAATCTCCTCGGGTCCCAGGTGTGAATTTGTCCGAAGGACCACAAAATCACAAAACTCACGGCC